ACTCTTTGTCCAGATGAATTTGACTATAGGTACCTCATCAGTGGAATCATGCACCATTTGCGTTTTGTTACTGGCTTATTTTACTTAGCATCATGTCCTCCAAGCTCACCCATGTTGTAGCAGGTGTCAGATTGGCCTTCCTTTTCCAGGCTGAGTAATAGGTCATGGTATGGATGGACCACATTTTGCTTATCCATTCGTCCGTCCATTGATGAACACTTGGGTTGTCTCTCGCCACCGTGACTTTTTCTTCGTCTCTGGTCCACAGGTGTGTTTTTTACTGGTCTCTGGTCTCAGCTGAGTGTTTTACTGGCAGAGTCATTGAACGGGAAAAAGAGAAACTAAACTGATGGTTTCCTTTCTGGCTCCGGCCTCTTCTGCCTCACTTCTTACCTGGCTGCCTCCAGCTTCTCTCAGCCTCTCTGCTGAAAGGCACCATGACTGTAAGGGTGCAACCTGGTCTCTCTGAGTTCCTTTTGGGCACCCTGAACAGTCTGTGTCATTCTCCCCTTATCACACACTTTGCTTGTTTCCCCCTTGACTTTTCCTCTCTGTGTCCTGGTGCCCGACCCAAGTGGGTGCTCCCTGCCGGCAGGTGGAAGAAACAAAGGTGCTGTAGGACTGAGGAGGCTCTGCCCCCAAACCATGGCTGTGATGGGCCCGAGGGCCTTGGCTGGGTCTCTCTGTTCTCGGCACGTGTCATTAAATGTGGCCTGCCTTGAGTGGACCAGCCCCCGAGGATGGAGAAGTCCACGGAGTATGCAAAGATGCTCCGTTTTTTGTCTCTTTCCCATAGGAGGATGGTGCATTTTGGGTTCAGTAATATTTACTCCTCCCACTGCCTCACCCCTAGTTTTAAAAAGGGGAGGTGAGAACTTAATCAGAAATTTCCTCTGTAAGTTGACGTGAGCAGCTTTGTAAGGGAGAGTTCTTCACTCCCTGAAGGGGGGCAGGAGAGGTTTGGGCATTGTTGACTGCCCGTCCACAGCAGGTATTCCCAGGCTATTGCATGCCAGTGGCTCTCTGGGGTTACTTTATGCCCCCAAGAGTCCCAGAGCTAGAATTCAGATAGATGGCGTTGGCTCGGCTGGCTCTGGAGCCTTGGCACCAGGTGCCCCACTGCTGTCTGCCTCTGCCCCCTCCACACACACTGCCCTCCCCAGGCACCCCTCGCCACTCCTCCTCACATAACCAGAGGTGACTCTCTTATTGCACAGGCCAGATGGAGGTCATTACCAGAAAGTGCTAGGTCTGGGAGCAGTCTTTCTTTAGTGGTTCTCCGAACCGAGTGACGATGGAGACTGGCCGGTCCAAACTCTGCAGGGCAGGTTGGCCGGAGACCCAGGGAAGAGTTGGTGTTGCAGCTCAAGTTCAAGGACTGTCTGGAGGCAGCATTCTTTCTTCCTTGGAGGACATCAGTATTTTCCTCTTCAGGCCTTCGAAGGATTAGATGAGGCCCACCCACACTATGGAGTTTTTCTTAAAGTCTACTGATTTACATGTGAAGCTCATCCAAAAAGTACCATCATAGCAACGCTTAGCCTAGCGTTTGACCATATCTGGTGCCAGTGCGGATAACATGGACTCACCAGGTTGACGGATAAGATTAACCATCGCATCCACTCAGGTGCCTGGGGAGTATGACGGCACTAACAGAGATGGGAGAGCCCATCTCTGCCTCCAGGAGTCCAGACTACATGTTAAAAATTTAGGAACAGCACCATGTATATGTAGGTGCTATCTTATAAGGATGAGATGTAAAAGGTATTTAGAGGAAATGAGGGGGGTTCTAGGTATTTTCACCATAAGCATTTTTGCCCTAAGGCAATTTCACTGTAAAAGATAAAAATGACTAGTTGATAGTTTGGCTTACAATTTGGCAGACATCGTGTGTTTAACCTAGTTGTGAGTTTGGTTTCATTTCTCCATAAACGAAGTTCTCACAGTTACTCCCCTTTGTGTATTACATAATCTCAGTTTTCGTAATGGTCTATACAGAGACGAGCAGTCGTGGTGGTCTTAAAATAGTGGATGATAACAAGTATTTAGAAAGCAGATTACAAAACTACCTGGGAAGCCAGATTTCATCCTATCGTAGAAAATGGTTCACGCATCAGTTTACAAATCCTTTGGGGACCACAGTCAGCCCTCACACCTGTCAACACCAAAAGTTTATCAAGTTTTGCAAATACCAGAGCGGTGGCTACTAATTCACAACACAACAGTCTTCGAGAGCATTACCGGTTCTTTAGCTGGAAACAGACTTGAAGGAAGAAATTGTTGCGGAAAAAGAAAAAGTGTGATGTCATACGAGGAGACGAATCAACAAGCAGATAAACTTGGAAGATGTGGAAGATGATGTATTTTCATTTTGTGCAATAAAGTCCTTTTAATTTTTCATGTTTCATTGTGTCCCTTTTTATGCCCCTTTTTAATTTTTTATTATTTTTTACAGCAAAATTGCCTTGTGGCCAATTAGTTGTGCTGCAAAAATGATTGTGGCAAAGATGCTTACAGCAAAATGCATATGGCAAAAATGCCAGACGGGCTCTAGAATCCGGGGAGATTTCATGGTAGGGATTGAACAGGAGCTTTCAGAACGTGGAGGTCTCAGATAAGTGAGGACACAGAAGACGAGAACCGGAGTGGGAACAACAGGATAATAATAATGATACTTAGTTTCTTTGAAAACATGTTTTTATTGCTTTTAAATAGAGGGGAAGAGAGAGAAGAAAAACATCGATTGGCTGCCTCCCATACGGCCCTACTGGGGATCGAGCCCACAACCCAGGCATGTGCTCTGACCAGGAATTGAACCAGTGACCTTTCGGTGCCTGGGAGAATGCCCATCTGAGCCCCGCCTGCCAGGGCAAAACCCAGTTCTCATGTTTCCCTAGGTCTCCGAGTTTATTGAAGATTTTCACATGTCTTGTTTCACTTACGGTCATGAAAACCCTGTTTTGTTTTTAATTTATCAATTACATTTGACATTCAATATGGTATTAGTTTCAGGTATACAGGGTAGTGATTAGAGATTTATATAATTTACTATAGGCCCACCAGAGGGCAACTCCTGCATTGAGCGTCTGCCCCCTGGTGGTCAGTGTGTGTCATAGTGACCAGTCATTCCCAGTCTTTCTGCTGTTAGGGTCAGTTTGCATATTACCCTTTTACTATATAGGATAGAGGCCTGGTGCACGGGTGGGGGCCGGCTGGTTTGACCTGAAGGGTGTCCCGGATCAGGGTGGGGGTCCTGCTTGGGTGCCTGGTCAGCCTGGATGAGGGGATGATGGCTGTTTGCAGCTGGTCACACCCCCTTCAGGGTGGGCATCCCCACTGGGGTGCCTGGCCAGTCTGGGTGAAGGGCTGAGGGCTGTTTTCAGGCTGGTGGGTGACTGAAGCTCCCAACCTCTCCTTTTTTTCTTTTTTTTTATTCTGGGATTTATTTACCTTCTATGGCTGTCACTGGAGCTGAGAGCTGGCTTTAGCTCTGAGGCTCTGCTCCAGCTCTGAGACCTCTGCTGCTGAAAGCAGGGATCTGGGTTTGTTTGGGTTCTATAATTGTAACACTGTTGCGGTCCTGCTCGCTCCAGCTCTGACTCCTGAAAGCAGGTTTCTGGGGATTGTTTAGGTTCTATAATTGCAACATAGTTGCTTAGAGTGCAAGCTCAGAGGCCGGCAGCAGCAGGCGGGGAACCTTGGCTTCCTCCATCACTGGAGCAAGCAAGCCTCCTGTTTGCTTCAGCTGCCTGGCTGCCGGCCGCCATCTTGGTTGGCAGTTAATTTGCATATCTCGCTGATTAGCCAGTGGGAAGCGTGTCGGGGGTACGGTTAATTACCATGTTTGTCTATTATTAGATAGGATGAGTTGTTCTCCCTGATAATTCTAGTACCCACCTGGCACCTTACATAGTTATTACAATATTATTATTTAAGCATATAATTTTATTGATTTCAGAAAAGAGAAGGAGAGAGGAAGAGAGGGATAGAAAAATCAGTGATGAGAGAGAAACATCATTGATCGGTTGCCTCCTGCACGACCCCTGCTGGATTGAACCCACGACCCCAGCATGTGCCAGACCAGGAATTGAACCGTGACCTCCTGGTTCATAGGTTGACACTCAACCACTGAGCCACTCCAGCTGGGCTGTTACAATATTATTGACTCTATTCCCTATGCTGTACTTTATATTCCCATGACTATTTTAAAAATATATATTTTTCATTTATTTTAGAGAGAGAGGAAGGGAGAGGCAGAGAGAAACATCGATGAGAGAGAAACATCGATCGGCTGCCTTCTACACACTCCCTATTGGGGATCGAGCTGGCAGCAACCCTGGCATGTGCCCTGATAGGGAATTGATCCAGCGACCTCTCGGTGCATGAGATGATGCTCAACCAACTGAGCCACACTGGCCAGGGCTATTTTTTTTTTTTTAATAAAGGATTCCCAAGGTCCAAAGAGGTTAAGGGACGCGTCAAAGGTCACACAGCTTGCCAGTGGCAGGGCAGGTCTTCCTAGTCTTAACTCCTGTCTCTCATCCTTACCCCCTTGGCCGGGTGTAATGAAATCCATGTGAATGTGTAGATGTCTGGGAGGGAGGAGAGATGAGCAGTGAGCAATCCAGGAAGGAGAGAACCCGTGTTTTCTTCACCAAGAGATTCTGTGAAACGATGAAAATGGACTGTTTTCTCTCACTCTCTCTGGGTCCCTCTTGACCGCCCTCACTAATGCCCCTCTTTTCTTGTTTTGTTGCCCTCCCCCAGACACGAATGCAGAGTTTGAATCCAGATCCCAAAGCCCAGTACACAAGCATCTACGGAGCCCTCAAGAAAATCGTACGGACTGAAGGCTTCTGGAGGCCCTTGCGAGGGCTCAACGTGATGGTCATGGGCGCAGGGCCGGCCCATGCCATGTATTTTGGCTGCTATGAGAAAATGAAAAGGACTTTAAATGCCGTTTTCCACCACCACGGAAACAGCCACATAGCCAATGGTATTTGAAAGCGTTTGTCTGCAGTTAGAAAGTTCTGTCCTCAACAGACCCTTCCCCAGGGTTCTTCTCCCTGTGACCCAGCAGCCTGAGGCCTCGTCTCCGCCACGCTTGCTTGTGAATAAAGAACTCTAGCGCCGTGTGTGTGCGCGCACACCCCCAAGCACACGCACACGTGCACACATGCTTTTTCCCGTTCCCCTTCTTCGCTTTCTGAAGGCTGGGGAGATTGGTGACAGAGGTGTTTCCGTTTTCATTGTTGTGTGGGCTTTTCACTTTTTTGTTTTGTTTTTGTTTTTGACACATTCAAAAGCCATTCATGATCAGATCTAGGAAACACACCCCGAATAGACACAAAACTTTTGAATGCTGGATTCCAAAAAAAAAGTTGTCTGGACAGCTTCTTTGAGACTATTTAAAAACTGGTTCAACAGGTCTCTGCAACGTCAAGATGTAACTAAGCTTTAAAAGGTCAAGAAGTTTTATGGCTGACAAAGGATTTGCTCCAGCGCAGACAGCCGGCCTTTCCCACCTTAAGCCTCTGGGGGTTTGGGAATTTCACCCCCACTCTCTTCTGTTTGTTTGAGTTGCATCTCTCTGCGATCAAGGGCTGGAATAGTTCTCTTTTGTTGTTTGGGAGTTGGGTGGGGGCTTGGGTTTGGAGGGCGGCTCTTACCTAGACATGTCTCACCGGGCCCACTGAGTGGTGGTTTTGCTTCTCCTGTGGGGTTTGGCTCGTTTGGTTTCTGTGTGGGTATGGAATGGGGCTGTGGATGGCAGTGCACGGTGCTCTTATTTTAACAAAATTAATTGTTCAACAATGGAGAGGTAGATGTGACCAGCAACAATTTTTCCCCCTTCTCTTTTCTGTGCAGAACCCCAAGTGTCCTTCCCATCAGCCAACCTTGGTAGTAATAACTGTATCTGGCTGGTGTGCAGACATTTGTTCTGCTTTTTAAAAATTGGGCATGAGTTGCGTTTATTGAGATGGTCACGAAGAGCCTCCTCTGAGGCCATCCCTGAGTTCAAGGCTCTCCTTTTGCTGAAACTGCCTATGTAACGGTGTAGCTCCTTGGTCACTGGACCCCTTGACTGCGGTTTGATGGTGCCCAGTTTATGCCAAGTTATGCCAAACGGTGCCCAGTTTATGCCAGGGTCTGCCCAGCTGTGCCTGCTTCACTGTGGTGTGTGCTCTGGTTGATTGCACTTTGACCTTTCTGGGGAGAGGCAGCAGTGTGTGTGGAGGGAGGGGGTGGGCATATATTTCTGAAGCCTTACCCTGGGGTCCCTCATTCCTTTCACCTTCCAGCAGTCATCTTCATCACTGGGCATGTGACCCACAGAGGGAGGAAGCCCAAATCCAAAAGCAAAGTCCCAGGCCTGAACCAGGATTTTGAGACTCCTGGTTTTTGAAGCCAGATGATTGGCCCTCTCCGAGACAAGTCATATCTTTGCAAATTAACCCTGAAAATCCACCAGGGGCAGGTCTTCCTGACGCCCTCTTCCCATGCTCTATTGCCTAGGTCCGTGGTTGGCAAACTGCGGCTCGAGAGCCACATGCGGCTCTTTGGCCCCTTGAGTGTGGCTCTTCCTAAGCCTTAGGAGTACCCTAATTAAGTTAATAACAATGTACCTACCTATATAGTTTAAGTTTAAACAATTTGGCTCTCAAAAGAAATTCAATCATTGTACTGTTGATAATTGGCTCTGTTGACTAATGAGTTTGCCGACCACTGCCCTAGGTCTTATTAAGGCATTTTCTTAAAGATTTCTTTCCTGGTGTTTCCTGCCTCTCAGCCGTGTGCATGGTGTCGTTCCCTCTGATTGCCCCAGCGTATGTGCAGAGGGTGTTCATGGGTAGACAAGGCGAGGGACAAGCTAGCATTAAAACCTAGATGGTGGGAAAAGCCCCGAGGTGTGTTTTCTGGGTACCATCCAGCGTTAGCAGGTCTAACCTTTGTCCAGGATTGACTGCCAGAGAGAAAATGAGTCTCTACAGGATGAAAACCTGGGTACCTGTGCCTCTTACCTTCCTTCCCCATTGTTCTCTAGTATTTCCATGATTACGTTAAGGCTTTAAGAGTCAGCACGCACCTGGGTGGAGTTGGTAGTGAATTTTGCTTCTTAGAAAGCTGTGCCCAGGGTTCCGTCTGATTTTAGGCTCCAGGAACTTTCTCAGAGCGCCTGGTCCCAGAGGGTAATTTTCTGGAGTTTGTTTTGCAGGGATAGCTGGGAGTATGGCCACCCTGCTCCACGATGCAGTAATGAACCCGGCAGAAGGTAATGTCTCCTGGTCCCAGGGAGTGGCAGTGGGATGTCAGAGGGGCAGGAAAAGCGGTGGCGGGGGTGGGGGCAGAAGGTCGGGCAAGGGGACTCCTGGTCCCCAGGCAGAATAAGAACATACTTTTTTTTTTTTTTTTTTTTTTTTACCACATTTTAGTAAAGGCCTCAAGAAGGGGCACTAGTTTTTGAGCTTCTGGTATTCCTGTTCTCTCAAACAGAGCTACTCAGGGGTGTGATCTGGGGAGTAGCAGCCATCAGCATCTCCTGGGAGCATATTAGAAATGCAAATTTTTAGATCCCATCCGCATCTACTCTATCAGAACCTGGGGGTAGGAGCAGGGAATTAGTTTTAACAAGCCCTCCTGGTGTGCCTTTTGCACTAGTCTGAAATCTTTGTACACACACACACACCCTCTGGCCCTTGTCAACATTTCTCAACCTTAGACACATTTTGGGGGGGGGGGGGGGGGTTGTCAAAGGCCCTTCATGGAGGCTTATGTTCAATTTGCTTTTTTAAAAGGAAGTTGAAATCATGATGGAACGTTTCAAACATGAGTACATGAGTAGAGATGAGAGTATTCTGAATCCCATGTATGCATCACTCGAGTTCATAAGCGAACATCTGGCCGTTTTGTTTTAGCTTAGCTATCTCCTCCCACGTATCTCTTTTTCCTTTTGAATTTTGGGAGCATTGAGCAACAGCTCTCAGCTGTGCAGACTCGAGTCAGCCTTTTCTGTGTCCCAGTGGCCCTAGCCGACTGGTCGGAGTAACAAGGAGCTTTGGGACCTGGTGCTGGGCCTGCTTTCTGCTGGGTTAGGCTCTGCGAGAGGAGGGGCTCTCTCCCCCTTCCTCCCCCATAAAACCACCCCTTTCCAGAAGGGAGAAATGTCAACATTTTAAATCTTGTTTTACAAGTTTGTTTTTTAAGGTTAAAATTTCTTACTTGTAGTCAGCTGCCTCCCCGGACCTAGCAGACAGGGACTTGTTCTGTCCTTCAGGGACATGACGGGTCCGACTGGGAGGTGGGTTTCTCTGTGTGAGTTTAAGGTGATTCATGTGGGGGCCTGGTCAGTGACCAGCTAGCGCATGCCAACCAGGTGAGAATTGTTCGCTTCTCAAAGGAGCAGAAAACCAGTGTCAACCTCCACCTCTTCTCCTTGACATCATGTTGATTGACGGACCTTATTCCTTTAACAATAAAGAAAAGCACACTGTGTGTTCATTTGGGCAATGGGTGGGGATGACTACAACTCCAAGCCTCAGGGACCACAGTGGGCCCTCATTTGCCTCGTGGCCTTTGACCCTCAGCTACTTTTGTATGAACCAAGCAGGGGCCTTCACTGGAGGTTGTCAGTGAAGTGGGCTGGCATAATTCCAGAGCAGTGATGGTGAACCTATGACACGCGTGTCAGAGGTGACATGCGAACTCATTTTTTTGGTTGATTTTTCTTTGTTAAATGGCATTTAAATATATAAAATAAATATCAAAAACGTAAGTCTTTGTTTTACTATGGTTGCAAATATCAAAATATTTCTGTATGTGACACGGCACCAGAGTTAAGTTAGGGTTTTTCAAAATGCTGACACACCGAGCTCAAAAGGTTCGCCATCACTGTTCTAGAGTCTTCCCAGAGCACTGTGACACAGAAGCTAATGACACTGTCAGACAGACCAGGAAAGAAGAGACGGGACACGTGTCCAGGAGGTGAAGACAGGAGGGCCGGAGGGCCAGGGGCAGGGTTCAGGTTTGGGGTGGGCGCGCGGCCCGCCTGCCGCTGGCCCTCTGTGGTCTCCGGCTGGGGCTGTGTGTGCGCGCTCTGACCTGTTACCAGCGTGTCTAAACTTGCTTGTTTTTCTTTATGGCTTGGCTTCCCATTGCACTCTGACCCGGGGTGGGGCCAAACCAACCCACTGCCCCCTGCCTGCCTGTCCACCACACGCTGCGGCCCACCTACAGTTGTGAAACAGCGCATGCAGATGTACAACTCGCCACACCGGTCGGCCCTCGGCTGCATGCGGACGGTTTGGAGGACTGAGGGCCTGCGGGCCTTCTACCGGAGCTATACCACGCAGCTGACCATGAACATTCCCTTCCAGTCCATCCACTTCATCACCTATGAGTTCCTGCAGGAACAGGTCAACCCCCACCGGGGCTACAACCCACAGTCCCACATCCTCTCCGGCGGGCTGGCCGGGGCCCTGGCCGCGGCCGCCACCACCCCCCTGGACGTCTGTAAGACCCTTCTTAACACTCAGGAGAACATGGCGCTCAGCCTGGCCAACATCAGCGGCCGGCTCACGGGCATGGCCAACGCCTTCCGGACCGTGTACCAGCTCAATGGCCTGCCCGGCTACTTCAAGGGCATGCAGGCCCGCATCGTCTACCAGATGCCCTCCACTGCCATCTCCTGGTCCGTCTACGAATTTTTCAAGTACTTCCTCACCAAGCACAAGCTGGAGAATCGAACTCCGTACTAAAGGAACAGGCTGTGGGCAGCGATTCCAGAATCTTGTATTTTTAAAAGGTTTTCCCTGCCTGCTTCCCTTCCCGTGCCCTCACAGCGGGATTATTTTTGCAGGGTGTTCTCGGGGGGGCCTTCCGTTCCCTGACGCCTTGGAGAGAGGAGAGGATGGGACAGCCGCCTACCAGAGGCCGTCCGCAGGGACATCCGAGGTGGTAGTAGGGGGGGAAAGACTTTGGAAGGAAAGCGAGAAATTGCTTTCTATTTCCTCCCCTATGAGGAATGTAGCTTTCCTGCTTCACTGTGGCAGGCCCCGCCCCTCGAATCATAGGTCACACAGTGGGGAAGAAAGTGCATGACTGAAAACCATGAACGCAGAAAGAGCACATTATGTATATAAAAGTTCTAGTACACAGTATAAATTGGATGGGTAATGTTTATTCTTTATTTTTCTACGTAGAGGTTTTTGGATTTGTGTGTGTGCGTGCCTGTGTGTGTACGGATAAGTGTGACAGCTAGGAATACAAAGCTGATTTTAAAAAATGGAGGGTGGAATTCTTCCATTGGGTTAGATAAAAAGGCACCCAAGTAATAAATTGCTAAATGTGGCCTAGAGTTGTGTTGAGCCCCCAAATGGGAGTTTCACTTGAATGTAAAATAATAAATGTGTTTATATTTTTGAATTTCTCTTTTTATGGGGGTTGGGGGAAGGTACATTGAAAAAACACACAAATAATATGTATCTTTCAGCTATTTTTTTCCCTTTCATTCATTCATTCCCTTCATGTGCCTTTAGCCTTTGTCTTTCCTTAAAATTCCAGGACCAGAGACCGGGCCCTGGGACGTTCTCTTTTGCTGTGGGCGCACACGTGTGCTGGTGACAGGATCACCTGAAGGACAGTGGCCCCAGCAGAATTAGAATGACTAGGCTCCTTCCCGGGGACGGAGCGTGCGCCTCCCTGGGCCAGCACTTGGAAGCCCGTGAAATGCCAGCGTCTGGCTACCAGCTGGGATTAGTCCCACCATTTCCTAGGACTTCTTTCCACATCCCCCTTGTAACCCAGGCGCCTCTGGTGTTCTTGTTTGTGCTTTGACTAAATCTCCTGATCTGTTTCCCGGTGCAGATTTAGGGATTTGAAAACACATAGCAAGTATATGGCATTTCTCTCACCGCAGTGACAGGCGGCAGGCCCTCCAGCCGGGCCCAGCCGCTGAAGCAAGGCCCAGACCCTCAGGCACAAGTCCGGGTGCCTCCGGAGCCTCCTTCAGCCCCCGTAGGTCCTCATCAGTGGAGAACACGAGGCCTAACTACCTTGTTCTCTGCGATGGTGAGTCTGGGCCAGATTATCACGGAGAGAGGGCGGGCCTGTTCCTCTGGCCACGGCTCTCCATTGGCTGCCAGACTTGCAAGGGATGAGCTGATGGCCTCCTTTCAGAGCCCGGCTTTTTAAAGGGAGGAGAGCACAAGTGTGCTTCATTCCTGCAGGCCTGGTCCAGCCTTCGCCCTTGGCCCTTGGCCTCAGGCAGTCAGTGCTGAGCCGCTCACTGAGGAGCAGACCTGGATCCTATAACTTCCTGGGAAGAACCCAGGCGGCGCTGGGACAGTTTTCATCTTGGGACACTCGTGCTGGGAGTTTCAGATGAGGGACAGGAGAGGGCGCTGGCAGCTCCCATGTGTGGGCCATCCTCCTGGGTGGGGTCAGCTGCTGGCCTGTCCCAGGTCAGGGTTAACCAGCATCTGCCCCCCTGGGGTGCAAAAGCCCATGGCGACCATGTTGCCGTGGCAAGTGTTTACAACTCTCTAAACATGTCCAGTGTTCTGTTAAATTCTGTGAATGGAAAAAACAGATCGAATTCTAAAATAATTACCCAACCACCCCTTTCGTCCACTTATACTCACCACATTGTTGCACAATGTTTCTTACTCCTTACAGGATTTTGTTTTTGCTATTATTCAGAGAAGAAGCTGTTTACTTCTCTGGGAAAACCCCTTAGGGTGGGAGAGGCAAGGAGCAGATGGAGGGAGCGTTCAGAGCTCTGGGCTCCGGTGGGAGGTCTGATCCCCACTGTGTAGTGTATCGCATAGAAGTGGGGGTGACGCCACCTGTCCTGCCTTCCCCACCGGGTCTCCCTGGGGCTGCATGAGCACTACACATAGACAAGTGATCGCTTATTTTGTGGGAATTAATTCCCCGGCTCGTCCTGAGCTTCAAAGTTTGTGCTGTTGCCTTGTGCCGACAGCAGTCCACTTGTTGATCGTGACTTTGTGGTTGTGAAGGGCTAACTAGGAAAGTGTCCTCCCCGCCCCCATGATGGCCACTCAGCATAACTGGCCTGCTCTTGGTTGGTAGTGTCTTTGGAGTGACACCTGCAGGCAGCCAATGCCTCTTGGTACAATGCACAGCTCTGAGCGAGTGTGTGCATGTGTGTGTCAGACCTTGATTGGAGATTCACCCACTTGTTCATCAGTTTTATTTTTGAATAAAACATGGATTTTTTTCAAATGGGATAACAATCCAGTCCATGACTATATTTTTAAAATTTTGGATGAGATCTAGGTATTTACTGGCCAACATCCTTTTGTATGGTTTCTTTTTCTTTCCTTCTTTAATGCTGATGTCTTATTCCAAGCCCTGTGCCCTGAAGGCTGCATCTCCAACACTTTGTTATGCCAGTAACTTTATTTAAGGATGATTGTGCCTGTTAAAGGCAAAGGTACTGCTGCTTCCTACCTGCTAGACACAATGAATGTTATAAGGGTGTTTACTGTAGTAAATATCATAGTTCCTGCCTCAATTGTTGCCCGCTGTTTGGAGGGGAGAAATGTGTGTTCATGTGTGGGGTTCTGATGTGCTGCTACAGTTGTAACACTGGAGCTAGAGACAAATAAAGCCTTGGTCTTTGAAGTGTTGTGGGCTCAGTGTGGGAGTCCCGGAGTGTGAGGAAAGTGGGTGGAGAGCAGAAACGAATCTATGGGGTGTGCCCATGCCAGTCTCGTGCACTAAGGACCAGGGTCTGTGGTGCTGACAGAACGGTCCCTTCCCACCCTTTTATCTAGATGGAAGCTGAGTGCCCTGGCGGCCAGCCAGAGGTCATGTTATTGCGTCCTGGCAGTGCTCACCCTGCACGGAGTGTGGCAGCTGTTCTCCCTAGTGTGGGAGCATGAGGGTGACAGGCCCTGTGCATGGAATGCTCATGCCTGTTTCTCTCACATGCACACTGATGACCCCTCTGTGGAGGGTCAGAGTCCCTCTGAGTGGAAGGCAGGGGGGTGGCCAGGATCCACACACGCTTCCTAAAGGTCACCGCTTACACCTGAGAACCGACCCTTTTCTGGGGAGGGAGTGGGGCTGGGGCTGGGGTGTCTCAGACCCCTCAGGGAAGCCAGGACAACTCTCGATTCTTCACGTGGTTCTGGAGGCCAGAGCACCTACTTCACTGAGGGCCTGGGCACCCATGGCAAGGTGCCAGGAGGTGGGAAGGGGGCCGATCAGAGGGTGAGGAAGGCTGGAGATACATTTCCCGCTTGGCAATTTACTGAAGACCAATCTTGTGCTTCTCAAAGCAGACTTGTAGCTTGTAGTTGCTTCCACGTGGAGGGGGGGGGGGCAGGTATGGGAGGCCCACCTGCTCCCAGTGAATGTGCATGCATTCAGCAGATGGTCCCCTGCCTGCCCCACGAAGTCAGTCTGCCACCAAACCTGGTTCCTCCCGTGAGCCGAGCGCTGTGCCTGTGTTGTGAGGAAAGAGGCAAGTGTAAGTGGGGTTCTCACCCTTTCAGGCCTGCAGCCGGACACAAGGCCACCCGGGAAGACCAGACTCTTTTGAGGCAATCAAATCTCGCCCACCAAGATGTAGCGGAGGCTGCCATGGAAGTGTCCGCTGAAAGTTAGTGTTGACTAGGTGTTTCCTCACCAAGAGGCTTTATTCAGGGAAAAGCAAGGGTTGCAACCCAGTGCACGCAGACATGGCAAGCCGCGGCACACTCTGGAGTACATGCCCAATGGAGGGGCGTTTAGCCACAGGAAGAGGAAGTTAAGGGAAGGGAAGTTAGAACCAGAGAGCCCCACGTGGGCATAGAGCTCCTGGAGGGACCTCCGTAAGCCCAGCCCTTCCCATAGGCCAGTGGTTCTCAACCTTCCTAATGCCGCGACCCTTTCAGGCAGTTCCTCATGTTGTGGTGACCCCCAACCATAAAATTATTTTCGTTGCTACTTCATAACTGTAATTTTGCTACTGTTATGAATCATCATGTAAATATCTGATAGGCAGGATGTATTTTCATTGTTACAAATTGAACATAATTAAAGCATAGTGATTAATCACAAAAACAATATGTAATTATATATGTGTTTTCCGATGGTCTTAGGCGACCCCTGTGAAAGGGCCGTTCGACCCCCAAAGGGGTCGCGACCCACAGGTTGAGAACCGCGGCCATAGACCCTCTGAGCTGATTGTGTTTTCTTAAGTTCCAGTTAGTCTATCAGAAGTGGAACAGTAACTGATACTGTTGCCAAGCTGGCCCATCCGTTCCTGGCTCTGTCCCCACCAGTGGTGGGCTGGGGCCGCACCCGCACAGCCCCCCCACACAGCCCCCCGCACAGCCCCTGGAGCGGGTGGTCTGCATCCCTTCTGAGCTTCGCATTCAGTAACGTGCTGCTGGCTGGAAATCCGCAAACGTAGGAATCTATACCCAGAAATAGACAAGCGCTAGCCTCCCGGCTCTTTCGAAGCCCAGTGTTGCACGAGAGAGAGACGACCACTGGGTGGCAGGAGAGCCGGGCTAGTACTGCTCCCAGGAACATGAAGACTTGTCTCCCTGATGGTGACAAGCTGTAGATAAGAGCTTGGCTGCCGTCACAAGGAGCCTGACCTTTAATAGGCAACGGGGAGCCATTGGGGGCTTCCTGCAGAGGACATCGTGACCGGGCTCAGCTTCGGGAAGAGTCATCTGGCAGCAGCAGACGGGGCGGAGTGGAGAAGGGACGCAGAGGAGGCCAGGTATTTGGTGTCACAGCGGGATTGTCCAGAAGAAGGATGACTTAGGGAAAGGCAAGGGACACTGGAACAGAATAAGTGCAACCGATGAGTGCAGAGGCAGAATCAACATGGATCGGCGGGGGCCTGGCGGAAGGGCAGGATGACAGCAGGCTGTCTGGGAGGCGTGGCAGGCGGTGCCTTGTCTGCAGACCCCTGGCATCCCCGTAGTCCTCACTCTGCCTGGGCAGGTGCAGCTCCCTCTCTTGCTCCCTTTCTTGGCTTCCATTTCTCTGCCCTTCAGGCCACCTGTGGGGACTCCCTTTGGCTCCCCCCACCAGCTGCAATTCCTTCCTGGTCACTGCAGGTGGCTGTTCAGGAAGGTCCCGCCCGTGCACCTGCTGTCATCTCCACCTCTTGGTGCTGATCTGTTTTCGCAGCTTCAGCTGGAAAGGTGACTCCTAGATGTGGAGGTAGCACCCCATCTTCCCTCCTGGGCTCCAGATCTAAATGTCCCCCAGATCTCCACTGGAGATCACCCCCAACTCCGGACTCCTGCCTGTGCTTCAGGGGCTTACCATGTTCACTGGCTCAAAACCTTTAAGGGCTCCTCATTGTTCATCGAATGTAGGAATAGGCTCCCCTACCTATGCCAGTGCCCAATTTAGCTCCACCCACGAGTGAAGGAATAAGAGAGCAACAGTAT